GCAAGCACACAATCCAAACCATACTCTTCAAGGACAGGAGAGCAAAGCGGTTTAAAGCTGAACTCCGGGGCGGGAAAACTTTCATTCAAATATATTCCCCAATAGCCAAAAATATATAATAACACTTTGTGTGCATCAAATGCGTTTATAAACCCACATCATCACTGTGCTGTACATAGCCTGTGCAGAGGGTAGAGCAGTGGGAGGGGCCCAGTAGGTTCCACCCACTACAGGGGGCTAACTGGACGGCCTCCTCAGGCCCGCAATTGTGCTGCGGAGGAAGTCGGGGGGTAAGGAGAGTACTTTTTATTGTTCTTATTTTTATTTTTTTTACCTAAGGGCTGATTTATAAACAATTCTCAGGAGCGTCTGCCCTGCGTATATCTGTGGACGTTCGTCCTGTGTGAATATATGCATAAACAAATGTTGTTTTCCTTTACCAGGCTCATTAAAGGAGAACTATGGGGTCAGGGCTTTTCCCCATAGTTCTCCTTAGGGTAACGGGAGGACACAAACTAGCGTCCTCCCGTCACCCTAAGCTCAGTATATAGGGAGCTACAGCTCGCGGTATACTGAGACGCCGCAGCTGAAGCGGATCCCGACAATTGTGCCGGGATCCGCCCAGCTGCATGACTGACAGCTGGCTCTGCCTATCTAGAGGCATGGGCAGCTGTACCCGCCCCCTCCCCCGTGCGTTCCACCTGTCAGCGCTGGAGGACCGGAGCGGAAATGAAAAACCCCCCCCCCCCCCCTCATAGTTCTCCTTTAAATTAGAATGTTCTGATTGTAATACCACATTATGGCCACTAGATGGTGCTAAAGCAGCACAGGAAACATGCATTTATTTTCTATACTTGTGGCCGTGAGGTGATATTACAGTCAGAACATTCTAATTTAATTACACTTGTCGGATATAAAAAACCTTTAGAGCAAACCTGTACTTGGCCCACTAACTGGTTGACAGCACTCCACCCCCCCTCCACCCCCCCTTTCTCTTCTACTGATACTTTACTTCCATGTGCTCCCCTATTGACCTGAGGAACAGCCCTGTGTAAGAGTTCTGGTTCTGGTTGGAGCTTACACAGGACTGAGAACCTTCCCTGCCCCAGTGTGATGGTACTGGAGCCGGCTCTTCCAAGGTGGGAAGTCACGTGACCTGGATTACAGGGAAGGTCAGTTGATGAAGGAGAAGGTTCTGCTCACCACCCATGACGGACCATATAGTCTATCTCTGGATCTAAGCTCCTCCTTTGGATGCCGCGGTGACGGGTGATGTCCACGGTGCCCGGCATTGGGCGGACCTGACAATGAGAATTTGGGTTCTTGTCCATCTTATTGTGGAAGAATCTGATTTTGGGTCGGAGGGGGCCGAGATGTACCCCAAAGTCCTTTCATTCTGCTGAGGCTTCATTCATAGATGTTCTGTATATGGCGACAAAGGTCCCGGAACCCGTGTGACGGAACACTCTGGCGGACTCTTATGGGTCAGGTATGGGCAGACGGCAGTTCCTGAAGAACTACTAGTCCCAAACGCATGGCTTTATGGCCTCTGAGTAGCCGGCGGGTCAGTGTGTGCTCGGGACTGGGTGGCTTCACCCCGGGAGTGCCTTATACACTGTGGGATGCCACGAGTTATACACTGGAGTGCCTTATTGCCAGGGGGGGGCGCAGAGGAGCCGTACCGTACGGCCGGGGAGCAGACGTCGTATTTATGGGAGGAGTGGCGGCATCTGCTGGACATTTAACTGGAAGAATTGTGACAAAATATCTCTTAATAAAGAAAAAAAAAAGATAAAACTCATTTCCTTTATTTATTTCCTGGATACATTGCACACCGGAACATCGTCACCCTGAGATATCGCTTAAAGGGGAAGTGGAGGCTTTTCAGTACACTGCACGCGTGTGGAGTGATCGGCTTACAAAGGAACGCTGGGTAAAATGACATATATGATGCAGGCCGCCAATACAGGGCCGGTGCTGCCACTAGGCAAACTAGGCAGCCGCCTAGGGTGCAGCCTTGACCACTCACCCCCTCCCCCCACTGTGCACCCCCTCTATTTCAAATTGCAAAAGCCAATAGCAGGCTGGCTCTTGCAGCCGCCCACTGAACAGAGAAGCAGAACTGAGAGACAACTTTACAGGTCCAGTGCTGCCACTAGGCAAACTAGGGCCGGTGTACAGCCCCCCCCCCACTGTGCACCCCCTCTATTTCAAATTGCAATAGCCCGCCCACTGAGCAGAGGAGCGTAACTGAGAGATAACTTTTTAACAGGGCCGGTGCTGCCACTAGGCAAACTAGGCAGCCGCCTAGGGCGCAGCCTCGATCACTCACCCCCCATGGCAGCCCCGTCTATTTCAAATTGCAAAAGCCAATAGCAGGCTGGCTATTGCACCCGCCCACTGAGCAGAGGAGCGGAACTGAGAGACAACTTTCTCTCTAAGGTCCGATCCTCTGCTCAGTGGCCAATAGCCAGCCTGCTATTGGCTATTTCAAATTAAATTACATCCACCTGTCGACTGCGGAAGCTATCCGGCAGGAGAATGGGGCCACCCATGGGGGGGATTGGGGGTTGCGCTGCAGGGGGGGGGCTGAGGGGTGCATCATTAGCTGGTCTTGCCTAGGGCGCAAAATGGTCTAGCACCGGCCCTGCCTGTGCAAGTCCTCCAAGTCTGCTCTGACTGCAGACCACATGCACTCCATGTGAGTATTTGATCTCAGCAGTTGCTGCGCGCTGACCGCCTTCAGCCACTAGAGGGAGTCTCTACAAATTCGGATATAAATCAGAACAGCGTGGAAACATGTAAATGTCATATAAAGATACAAATGATGACAACCTCCTAATATCTGAACTTGCTGAAAAGACGCCGTAGTTCCCCTTTAAATGTAGAAAAATATCAACATAAACAGCAACATTGTATCCATTGGACATTCAGAACGTCCCAGACAGTCCGAGGCGGAAGTTCCTGAGACAGAACGGACCAGAACTCTGTGACATCTCCCAACGGGCATTGTATCTGTCAACTTCAGGCATAGGATCAGCTGGAGGGATCATTGTTCTTCAGCAGATTGGTTACAGAAATACTTTTATCCTGTATGCAGATACGGGGGAGAGGGGGAGGGGCCAGGAGATTTGTTGGGCTGGTGAACCTGGTTGGACCTGCAGAATCTGACCTGTGCTAACTATGATCCGTTCAGACCTGGAATCAGATCATCTGCCAGAGGGAATGCTCCCAACACCGGCATCCCTTGCTGGACTGAAATGTCATGTGCACATCAGGATGGATAAGGGGCAAGCAACCTTGGCACTCCAGCTGTTGTGGAACTCCATGTCCCATGAGGCATTGCACAACTCCCAACAGCCACAGGCAAGACTCCCAGAGACAAAGGCATTATGGGATTTATAGTTGCCTACCCCGATCTAACCTCACATCCAGCCTACATTCTACTCTCTCATTCCTTTCTCCAAACTTTATCCACACCAAGAATACAAGCCAACACTTCAAATTATCCTCCGAGATAAACCTTATTTAAGAGAAACAAATACAACTAACGCGTTTCAAACCAAAAACGCCAACTCAGAACATGTATGTGGATAAGAACTTCTAACTTTCCTGGTCTGACTACTTTATACACTATATGGGCAAAGGTTAGTAGACACCAGACCATCACACCTACATGATGGACATCCCACTCTAAAACCATGGCCATTAATATGGAGTTGCCTACCCGGTGCAGCTAAAACACCCTCCACTCTTTTAGGAAGGCTTTCCACCAATGTTTGGAGGGTGTCTTTGTGCCCATTGGTGAGGTCAGGTACTGATGATGGGTGAGAAGACCTGACTCACAATTGGTGTTCCAATTCATCCAACAGATGTCCAGTAGGGTTGAGGTCAGGGCTCTGTGCAGGACTCTCGAGTTCCTTCACACCAAGCTGGCCAAGCCATGTCTCAATGAAGCTGGCTTAGTACACCGGGGACAGTCATGGGGGAACAGAAAAGGGTCTTCACCAAACTGTGACCACAAGGCTGGAAGAGCACAACGGTCTACAATGTCTTCTAAATCTTTGTAGCATGAGCGGTACCCTTCAGTGTAGACATCTAAGCTCAATCATCTGGCAGGAGTCCTCATACTTTTGGCCATATAATGGCCTTTTGCACAATTGAAGGCAGTGGGCCAGCATAAGAGCCAGGCAACCAAATTTCTAGAAGGAGGCCAGCAATGGGCAGTAAATTTTTAGTTAAAAGTTAAGGTTGCCTGTTCCTTCTGTACCCTGGAGACCTCAATGTTGAGTTCTCCCTGCCATAATACCTGGTTCCCAGGTGTGTAGACCTAGGAAGTCAGCACACGGATGGCAGGAACAACTCATAATGGTCAGGTGTACAGACCCGGGAACTCAGCACAGGGATGGTGGGAGCCCCTCATAATGGGCACAGCGGGTGTACAGACCCGGGAACTCAGCACAGGGATGGTGGGGGCCTCTCATAATGGGCACAGCAGGTGTACAGACCCGGGAACTCAGCATGGGGATGGTGGGAACCCCTCATAATTGGTACAACAGGTATGCAGACTTAGAAGCGTCGCAAAGGGATGGTAGGAGCCCCTCATAATGGGTACAACAGGTGCCCATGACATTGAATGGTGGCTCGTAGATTGAGGGAGGACTTCCAGCACAAGTCCAGACTTCACGATTGTCCGATTCTTATTTTGACGGGAGCAGCAATTTTCCATGAACTCCACCCATTAGATTTTCTCCAGATTAACAACCCTTCCTGGATCAGTCTGCTGCCGATGGACTCCCCAAAACACAGACGTCTTAAATCTTCTCCGAATTTCTCAGAAGGATCTGATCACGGACACCAAGCAGAGACAATTTGTCTCACTTGTAGAGCGCCATCCTCTTGGACTGGTACATGTACATATAGGCGTCACAGAAGAGGCGTTTGGCGACACCTTTCATCTCGCGGGGGTTCTGGCTGATGAGGTCTTTCAGCGGGGAGGCCAGGTAAGTGGCCACTTCTGGGCAGAGGCTGACTCGAGGGATGTTGTAGCCATTTTCGCTACCTGCGGGGACAACATGGCAGAAGGTTAAAGTTGACCAAACTCATGAGGAAGCCAAGTCAGTAGGCGTTGCTCCAAAAGTACATACATTTAACCAGTTTAGCCCGCCCCCTGTACACCCCTATGGCAGTGACGTGCGGTACCTCTTGTTCCGGGTGACGCATTCCCCAGCATGTCCCGCCTCCTGCCGGACGAAGCCCAACCCCCAATCCATCCCCAAGCTAGTCTAAAGGAGGAAGGGAAGAGCCTCTCTGTCCCTCACTTCTCGTCACTGCTGAGGCATCGAGATCGATGGCCTCAGTGTTTTTTGTTTCTTAGATCAATTTTTCAATAGGAAGTAAGCGAACACATACCGTTGCTTGCTCACTTCTCGATCTATCCCTGCAGAGAGCGGTGACTGTCACTCACGGCTCCTTGCAGGGAATTCGGGTGGGTATTCGGGGCGGGTACAGCTGGCTCTGCCTCTAGATAGGCAGAGCCAGCTGTCACTCACGCAGTTGGGTGGATCCCGACATTACTGTCGAGATCCACCCAGCTGCGTGACAAAGAGCGCCAGCTGAGCTTTACTACAAGAATGAATACACTGCAGAGGCTACAGTGGTGTAAAACTGGCCAGTTAAAAATTAATCAGGAATAATAGGCCTAACTGGTGTATGCCTAACATTTATTTTATCTACGGGCATGGGAAATGGGGGTCGGGGGGGTGCAGTCAATTTGAGTGTTATGTTGTGCAGTGGTTTAGGTGCACACTGTTTTTGCACTTAGTTCCGTTTCAAATGATACAGCAATGTGATGTGCTCTGAACAAAAGGTAGAGGATCAATAACAAGTAAATGCTGTGCTTTGAACAATTTAAACTTCAAAAAGGCCCTATCAACCCAAAATGATACGAAAACCCCAAAATACCACCGTGAGTGAAAGAAGCTTTTCGGTTGATTTCTCACCATATCGGTCGGCCATGCTGTCGAAGAACATCCAGCTTCCCTTCTCCACCCCGTACTTGACAAAGGACACGTAGTGACTGGTCTCTATGCACAGCACAGCGAACAGCTCCAGAGTCTCCCGAGGGATCTTCTTTGTCCCCTGCGCTTTCAGGCAGGTGTCCGGGATCTTTAGGGGGACGGGTTTGTGATTCTTCCGCTTGTGATGGTTGTGAGCCTTGAGGATAAAAGGAACTGGAATCAGCTGAAGTCAGAGGTGCGGGCATGCCAGAGGAACATCATACGGATTTGTAATTTACACACAGAACATTTCCCGAAGTCTGTTTTCCTGCACACATTGGATCTGCACTCCAGTACACACAGCTCACTCCCCAGTATCCATGTCACCAGTGAGATCTGCACTCCAGTACACAGCTCACTCCCCAGTATCCATGTCACCAGTGAGATCCGCACTCCAGTACACAGCTCACTCCCCAGTATCCATGTCACCAGTGAGATCCGCACTCCAATACACAGCTCACTCCCCAGTATCCATGTCACCAGTGAGATCTGCACTCCAGTACACACAGCTCACTCCCCAGTATCCATGTCACCAGTGAGATCTGCACTCCAGTACACACAGCTCACTCCCCAGTATCCATGTCACCAGTGAGATCTGCACTCCAGTACACACAGCTCACTCCCCAGTATCCATGTCACCAGTGAGATCTGCACTCCAGTACACACAGCTCACTCCCCAGTATCCATGTCACCAGTGAGATCTGCACTCCAGTACACACAGCTCACTCCCCAGTATCCATGTCACCAGTGAGATCTGCACTCCAGTACACACGGCTCACTCCCCAGTATCCATGTCACCAGTGAGATCTGCACTCCAGTACACACGGCTCACTCCCCAGTATCCATGTCACCAGTGAGATCTGCACTCCAGTACACACGGCTCACTCCCCAGTATCCATGTCACCAGTGAGATCTGCACCCCAGTACACACGGCTCACTCCCCAGTATCCATGTCACCAGTGAGATCTACACTCCAGTACACACAGCTCACTCCCCAGTATCCATGTCACCAGTGAGATCTACACTCCAGTACACACGGCTCACTCCCCAGTATCCATGTCACCAGTGAGATCTGCACTCCAGTACACACAGCTCACTCCCCAGTATCCATGTCACCAGTGAGATCCGCACCCAGTACACACAGCTCACTCCCCAGTATCCATGTCACCAGTGAGATCTACACTCCAGTACACACAGCTCACTCCCCAGTGTCCATATCACCAGTGAGATCCGCACTCCAGTACACACGGCTCACTCCCCAGTATCCATGTCACCAGTGAGATCTACACTCCAGTACACACAGCTCACTCCCCAGTATCCATGCCTCCAATGCCTATGCTTATTGTGGTTTACCTGCTGAGAACAGAGGGCACAGTATTGCTTTAGGCCGTGCTGGGAGAGGAGGTCATCCATGAAGCAATCAGGACATTCATAGCTGGCCAACTGTCCACACACGATGCACTCCCGGGGACCTGCCAGAGACACAATGTATGTATAGATTTAAGTTTGATCAGCTTCCCTTCATGCTCCAATGTAACATTTTAAAAACATACATCTACATCATTACACGTGAATGACAGGCACTGTGATGATGCCCCCTTAGAGGGCACACCCATGACACCCTATACTCACAGTATGCCCTCAGTCTTCTGACTTGAATGATAAACCCAGAAGAATAAGCACATCTTGTGGTGAAAAAGTATTTTTGGATTGAAGGTGTGTACTGCAGCCACAACTATATTTTCTATTTTACCTTTTAACCTTTCAGATATAAAATAGCGTGTGATGCCAATATATACAATATTTCAGTATTTAATGAAAGTGAAGTCTCCCTTTAAATTTTGGTGGGAAACTCACTATCGAGCAGGAGATCTGTTATGTCCAACTCCAGGGAGGGAACAATTTTACTGAACATCTTGTACTCCTTCCCGAACCGCGGCATCTGGATGATGAAACACGATGGAACCTGCGAATGTGAAAAACGGACTCTTTAATCAAACCTGCGTACTGTAAACCACACATGCCAACATATGTATCTCAGTCTTTGGGACACTGTCACCTCCTGCCCACGGGGCAACACTTGACGCAGCACATTGTACTACACTAGTGCCGCTAGCCGGTGCTGACAAGTACAGAAAACTCCTATTGTCCTCAGTGCCATCGGGGGGCACAAGTGCCATGTGCTATATACCAGGCAAAACTTTCACATATGAACCTATATACAATGTACAATTTTCTTTGGATTTACCATCAATTATGTAGTACTGGAGCCTCATTCTCATTTTATACTAAAGGAATGGATTTGGGAGAACGTGCAGAGATTTGTATAGCGTGTGGCCAGATGTAGGAACATTTACCCTCTGTGTCCTGGTCACCATTGTCCCTTGTACAGAAAATGATGGGAAGCCAACATTTTTGAGTTGACACAGTCACAGGCAGTGCCGGACTTCCCACAAGGCCAACCAAGGCCCGGCCTTGGGGCAGCAGGGGTGTGGAATTCCTATCACTCGACGCGCGGGACATGAATTTCTGGGCGCCAGGCGGGTAGTTATTTTCTACAGTTAGCCCGGCTTTGGGCAAGCAGAGCTAAATGTACAGCGGGGAAGCCGCCGCTTGTTTTGTACAAGTGATCTCTATGATTTCGCCTAGATTGCTTGTATGCAGCCTGCAGGTCTGCCAGGTTGGTGGGTATGGGGCGCATTGAGAAACCTGGCCTTGGGGCAGCAGAGAGAGTAAATCTGGCCCTGGTCACAGGAGGTTCAGGGCAATGTTCCATTGAGGTCCCCTGTTCTGATGACCACTGCCTAAGAGGGATTTATCTTTGCTTTAGGAGGGTTCCTCTTTTTTCATGTTGTGTCTTAAAGGAGAACTATGGGGTTAGGACTTTCCCCCATAGCTCTCCTAAGGGTAACGGGAGGACACAAACTAGCGTCCTCCCGTCACCCTAAGCTCAGTATAGCGCGAGCCACAGCTCCCTATATACTGAGACGCCGCAGGCGGAACGGATCCCGACAATTATGTCTGGATCCGCCCAGCTGCGTGAGTGACAGCTGGCTCTGCCTATCTAGAGGCAGAGCCAGCTGTACCCGCCCCCTCCCCCGTCTGTTCCGCCAGTCAGCGCTGGAGGATCGGAGCGGGGAGGGGGGGAAATCCAGTCCCTCCCCTGTCACGGCTCTCTGCTGGCACAGGATCGAGAAGTGAGCGAGCGCCGGTATGTGTTCGCTCACTTCCCGATCTACTGAGCCGACCTGTGACAGTCTCATTGTCACAGGTCGGCTCAGATTATGAGGCTGAGTGAAAATCACTCGCCTCATAATTCTCCTTTAAGTAGAGGGTCTATCCAAAGCTGAAAGCATATGTTTGGCTTTGCATACAGTGAGCCCATCAAATAGAACTAGGGGAGCTGACCTAACCAACTTGGTTTATAACAATGCAGGCTCAGTGGTGGTCACCTTCATTCCCTACTTTGGTACCCATGCAAGAAAATCCCTTGTTTCCCATAACCCCCCACCAAAATCCTTCTCTCATATTAAACATTCCATTGAAGCAGTTGCAGCTGGAAGATGATTGGTCCCCAGGGGCATCAAGAAATGTTTTTTTCTTGGCAAACTTTTCATATAAAATTTCCCTAGTGACTCAATGACCTAGAACAAGTATGTGACCAGTAAGGTTAGGACCCCCAGCTGGACCATGTCAATGTGTGACTAGGTATTGAAACAACAATAAGGGTGACAAGTGTGGCCTGTACCCTCATAAACAAGTCCACATTACATTCCCTTTAAAAGACAATGACCCCATACCCCCCCTCCCCCCCCTCCCCCCCATCATCATCCCGCACTGTGCCCTCACCTCGGCCAGCTTGAGGTTGGAGTGGTGGAAGGACTGCTCCAATAGCTGCTGGACGTTAGGAACTGTCATCTCCTGCTGCTTCTCTATGAAGATTTGGTAGCAATAACACTCTTGGACACCCTGGACCTTCGACCTGTTGGGGGGGGTTGGAGATCACAATATGACGAGAGGAACAAAATGCCCAAACAATGAAACAACGGTCCTATTTAAATGGTTCTGAGTTACATGTGCGGTGTGTATGTTCACGTGCACTTTTTATTTCGTATGTAGAAATGTGCAACATTGGCCCGTGTATTTATAGGCGTTCCCCCACAACACGTCATTAAGTAATGGGGTGATCGACTCCACCAGCAGCTCCTGCTCAACAAAACAGTGATAGAGCCGCACAGCAGAGGCAAGGCGCGTCTACCTTTCCTTGGCTAGAGTTTGGGAGCAATCCAGCTACAGCATGAAGAGGAGGTATATGACCGGCTCCCAAATCCTGCATTACCTTCCTCTCACCAGGCCAGAATTCTTCCTCTATTGCTGATGCTCCACCAATCCCACTATAACTCTGCACACATCTAGAGTTAAAGCTCACATTCTTATCGAAAACCAGCTGATGGTGCCTTGCGTCTCTGCATTGGACCGGTTCTCACTGCTGACATGGAAAGTTTTTTTTGTTTTACAAAATCTCATCTGAGGGGGTCACGTCGGGTAAATAGACACCAAACATGTTAAGCTTTAAAATTGCGCGCACCCGCGACATCGCAGAAAACTCCCATACCTAAAATTGGCCATAGGTGACGCTTTAAAAGCTTTTACCGCTCATCAGATTAGTGTTATCAGTGATTGATGGCCCTAGACTTATTGCTCTCACAGCGACGTTCGCGGCGATATGTAACATGTGCGGCGTAATGGGCGTTATGGGCGCAATCGTCTTTTTTGCTCGTATGCGCCCCGACGCATGTTTGCATGCGTGTATGTATGGGTGGGGACTTTAAAAAAAATGTTTTTAATTCTTTTTTATGTGTAACTTAATTTTTTTTTGGGGGGGGGACTTTAATTTATTTTTCCTATTTTTTTTTTCCCACTAAACTTTATTGCTATCACATACGGGGGCTAATAAAACCCCCCTATGTGATAGCAAAATATGTGACAGGTCCTCTTTATGGAGACATCAGGGGTCTCCAAGACCCATAATGTCACCTAGGACCCCCAAAAGAAGCTGATGAAGCAAAGATCTGCTCCATCAGCTTCTCTCCAGCATCTGAAGCTGGAGAGTTTCAGTTGGTGAAGGTGCTCTCCGCACACCTTACAGCAATCCCGGCCAATAAGAACGATGGTGCTTGTAGTAACGACCACGGATGGCGCCGTGCAAAATACGAGATAAAAACGACAGGTCACCAGCACTCAGATAATTTAAATAGATATGTCCTTTTTAATGGACAATTGTGTCACGGCGGAGGGGGGGGGGCACCGATCGTTACCCCATACAAGCGATCCGCCGGCTCTGCAGTATGTTAACAGGCATCGCTGCCTGTTTTTAAATATCGGCCCCCGTCTAAAGACGCCCGCTCAGATCTAGAGAGCTCCCGGCCGGCCCGGAGGTAGTTAACTGACACATTTCCATTACTGACTTGAGTCAGCACTTAGATAAGGATGGCCACATAAAAGGTGTTGAAGGGCCGCATATGCCCCTTCTGGGCTCCATGTTGGGCACCAGGGTCTAATACATTTGCCATCCAAGTCCCAGAATAGAGAACTAACACTTACTGCAGCTTCAGCAGGGGATCGGCTCTGAGGATTCGCTGCATGATCAGGTTCAGGAACTCCTCCGGGTCTGGGAGCGAAAGAGTAAAAATACAAATATCAGAATTTCTACAGACACACTCCTATATACACCCCATTATGAGGAGCTCCCACCATCCTGCGTTGGGTTGCAGGGTCTGTACACCCGCTGTGCCCATTATGAGGAGCTCCCACCATCCCTGTGCTGAGTTCCCGGGTCTGTACACCCGCTGTGCCCATTATGAGGAGCTCCCACCATCCCTGTGCTGAGTTCCCGGGTCTGTACACCCGCTGTGCCCATTATGAGGGGCTCCCAACATCCCTTCTAGATTTTATTTATATTATATGATAAAGGATGTAACAGGAGGACATGGAACATATAATAATGAAAGGGCCCCGGATCAGGGGCACATAAAACTTCCAGGTGCACAGGGGCAGAGCCATGAATTGTGGAAGGGAGATCTAATTGTTGGACATAAGGAGCCAGGGGCTGACTCACACCACCATGCTCCAGCTATAAATGGAATATTATTCTTGTGAACTGACCCAATAAAACTGAACCTGAAGTTTAAAATAGAAAAATACCAACCAAGCCAAGTGCTGCCAACTGGATATCTCCAAGAACTATTCTATTTCCACTATAAATTATCTTCACAAACAAAATCCTTTCATGAGAAATGGGAATTGAAGATGCATTGCGGTATGAGGAGCAGGGCAGGAAAGGGACGGGGGGACCCTATAGAGACTCCACTTGGGATTGTTCTGTCTTCTACATAAAATGTCCACATGAGTCTCTACACGGGACGCCATCATTGCCCTTTGCCCTCATTAGGGATGTGGATTGGGCTGTAAATGTCCCCCCCGAGACCCACCAGCTCCATGTCTCTGGTGAAGTGATAGCGATACCTTTCTCCGAGGTGGTGAAGCTGGGGCACTGACTCTCCTGCATCAACTGATGTCGCAGCCTCATCACACTGTCCGCAGAGACATATCCGTTCCTGCCAAGGAGGCCAATTGGTTAGCGGCAATCATTATCTTTATCAGAGATTCCATTATTTTATATATATAAAGCAGAACATCGATCAGATATAAAAACAGCGTTCAGTCCATTCAGGAATTCAGTATAAAAACAATTGCAGCTAGTATACATTGTCCTCATATCAGCTTCCCATAATTGTGGTTGTCAGTTGATGAAGGTCACAGTTCCTAACATAACTCTACAGCAGTGAGTAGCAAACCTTCGGCCCTCCAGCTGTGGTGGAACTACAAATCCCATAAGGCATTGCAAGATTCTCATAGCCACAGACATGACTCCCGAAGAGAGATTCTTAATGGGATTTGTAGTTTCACCCACAGCTGGAGGGCCGGATGTTTGCTACCCCTGGTCTACAGCTTTATGGCCCTTTTCTCATGAAAAATGCTGTTCCAAATATCACTACAATCTTTATAATAAAGTGCTATAATCATGTTCAGTAGACATAATGTGGCCCACCATGCATGGTGTAAATAATAATGATTCCAGTGGAGACATAGAGGGTTATTCACAAAGCGGCCGAAGGCAGCCGAGTGACCCAGCCGAAGCGAATTAAGCCGAACGTTGTACATCGGCTGCCTTCAGTCAGTGCAGAAGGACTTTGGCTCTGTTCACACCTAGGCATATCGAATATGCGTGTTTATCGCGCGTTTTTACTGCGATTCGCGGTAAAAAAAAACGTGCGACAAATGCGCGTTTCCGAGGGCTACTTGGCTGTATCCCAATGGAAACGCGCAACAAAAATGTGCGACAAATGCGCATTTCCGAGGGCTACTTGGCTGTATCCCAATGGAAACGCGCAAAGAAGCTCCTGTACCTTTTCAGGCGTAGGCCGTTTTGTAGCGCGTTCAGACGGGCTGAAATACAGCAAGGTGTGAACCATACCCATAGAAAACAATGGGATTTGAGCGTTTTGTAGAGCGTTCGTAGAGCGTTGAACGCGCTACAAACCGTACAGGTGTGAACCAGGCCTTTGACTCAGGCGATCCAACATCTGGATCGGCTGAGCCGAAGCTCCGGCAGCTCACTCGCTGCTATTCACTCCTATTCTCATATATTCCTATAGGGGCCGAACGGCAGTGAGTGAATAGCCAAAGGTCACCAAGCGACAATCGGCTCGGCTATTCTGCTCAGTACCTCCGTGGTACCGAGCGGAATAGAAAATAAGTTAAAAGAAAGTTAAAAAAAAAAAATGAACAAAAGGATTTTAAAAAGGTTAAAACATAGGAAGATTTAAAAAAAAATGTAAAATATTTTAAAGAAGCTAGCTCCGCCCAACTGTTTCCTATTGGCCATCGCCTGCTAGAGTCTTCTAGCAGGTCCCGGCCAATGAATAACAACTGGGTGGAGCCGGCCGTGACGTCCCGGCCGGCTCCGCCCAGCTGTTATTGTTTAATGACAGATCAGCGTCCCCAGGTCATTTGGGGACGCTGATCTGTCATTACAGCTGGGCGGAGCCCTGCCCAGCTGTCATTTGTGAGCCGCTCGGCCGCCTTCGGCAGCTATACGGGCTATTGTGAATAGCCCGTACAGCAGCCCTTCAGTTCGACTGAACTAAAGGGCAGAGGTGGCCAAAGAGAGCTGAAGGATCAGCCTCTGGGGAGGGCAGATATCTGGGGGTATAGGGGACCTTTATAACAAGGGGTATCTGAAGTCCCCTTGTTATAAAGGTGGTTTGTTCATGCATATAAGTCCTCCTTACCAACCCCCACATCACTTTTGGAGGGCCAGATGTGAAGAAGAGGACCTTGTCCCTCAACAATGGGATAGTATGCCTTGCAAGGGGGAGGGCTATGCCCCTTAATAATTTTTCCCCAAAAAAGTCAAAAGCATATAAAAGACATCCACACCATAAATCCATCATCAATCATGCTGTTTGGTGATTTAGATTAATTGTAGATCCATCACCAATCACGATGACCTACTGCTGCCAGATGTTCCCTCACTGCCTAACGTTTCCCCGTCATCACAACAACCTGTTGCCCAATGACAGCGTCAACAGGTTTGCTTTAGAAAAAGAACCTTGTGAAGGTGTCTTCTCTGGATTGAGTGTAGGTTAGGTGTGAATTACATTGACTTCCTGTGGCTGGAGAGCTGCTGTAAAATTAGGGCCCACCACAGCTCCCCCCTTCTACTAGCACACTGAGTACCGATATGCAGCATCTGGGAGTCAGGTGATCATTCCCAGACCACTAACTACTTCAGAATAGGTGCTGCAGCATTCAGGAATTCCAAATGGAGACAAATCTCATGTCGGGCCCAAGTTTACAGCAAAAGATCTCCGAATAGCTGCCATAGAGGTGAACGTAATTTAAGACTTTACACCTAACACCTCCAGGTCCAGAGGTTGGATCTTCATAACGTTCCTCCTTTATTTCTCTCATTTGGATGTAAATGTGGGTGGTCTCACTTGCGCAGGGGGTTGACAATCTCCTCCCTTAGGGTCCTTTGGATCTCTCCATCAGGGTGGGACGCCGGTTTGAAGAGTAAAGAGTCCAACGCTGAGCTACAGGAGAAGAGGCTGCAGAGAGAAGGCAGAGGAGGAAATCCATTACAATGGACACCCAGACACATTTTTTTTGTGGGGTTGGGATACAATGAGGAAAGGGGTACAACCTCTGTCATGTTTTACTGCCAACGTTTTATATAACACAATGTCATCTGAATCTTTCTCCGGTTAACCATGAGGAGAGAGAAATGCTGAGGAAGGGATGTTCAATTCTTCTGCATACTAAAATGTAACTATAAGTGTGATATCGATCATTTGAATCAAACAATATTACATATACTAATACAGTTTTACATAACATAATGTTCTTTCATATATTAATGCCCTAATAAGGTAATGTAGTAAAAATACAACATAGTTTACATACACTATATTGCCAAAAGTATTGGGCCCCTCCCCCTCCAAATCATTGGATTCAGATGTTCCGTGACATTTGCTTGCTACTAAATATTCCGCAGTCACCTGTTACTGGGATTATAACAAAGTGGAAGCAACCGGGAACAACAGCAACTCAGCCAGGAAGTGGTAGGCCACGTAAAATGACAGAGCGGGGTCAGCGCATGCTGAAGGGCACAGTGCGCAGAAGTCGCCAACTGTCTGCAGAGTCAATAGCTACAGACCTCCAAACTCCATGCGGCCTTCAGATTGGCACAACAACAGTGCGTAGAGAGCTTCATGGAATGGGTTTCCATGGCCGAGCAGCTGCATCCAAGCCGCACATGACCAAGTGCAATGCAAAGCGCGGGATGCCGTGGTGTAAAGCGCGCCGCCACTGGACTTTAGAGAAGTGGAGGCGTGTTCTCTGGAGTGACCAATCACGCTTCTCTGTCTGGCAATCCGATGGACGTGTCTGGTTTTGGCGATTGCCAGGAGAACGGTACTTGCCTGACTGCATTGTGCCAAGTGTAAAGAATGGGGGAGGGGGGATTATGGGGGGGGGAATTGTTTTTCAGGGGTTGGGCTCCGCCCCTTAGTTCCAGTGAAGGGAACTCTTAAGGCATCAGCATACCAAGACATTTTGGACAATTTTATGCTCCCAACTTTGTGGGAACAGTTTGGGGACGGCCCCTTCCTGTTCCAACATGACTGCGCACCAGTGCACAAAGCAAGGTCCATAAAAGACATGGATGGGGGAGTTTGGGGGGGAGGAACGTGACTGGCCGCACAGAGTCCTGACCTCAACCCCATAGAACACCTTTGGGATGAATTAGAGGCGGAGACTGCGAGCCCCTCCCCCAACATCAGTACCTGACCTCACAAATGGTCCAACATTCCCATAGACACACTCCTAAACCTTGTGGACGCCTTCCCAGAAGAGTTGAAGTTGTTATAGCGCCAAAGGGCGGAGCCAACCCAATACTTAACCCTACGGACTAAGACTGGGATGCCATTAAAGTTCATGTGCGTGTAAAGGCCGGCGTCCCAATACTTTTGGCAATATAGTGTATCTCAATAGTCTCATTGTCTGACTTGTTTGTCTTTAACTTGGTTGATAGATACTCTCTGTAGAGCTTTAATTGTCACTTTTAACACATATAGGATTACCTAGAAAACCTTCTAGACATAACCAAGATGAAGAATATTTTTACATGGACTCCTGTAGTCAGCTTGTGTTTTACCAAACCTGGGCAAATAAAGTTATAGACTCATCATTTAGGGTCCTTCTCATGTACACATAGTCCCTATACAAACATGACTAGTAAATAAGTATAAAAAGAAATATCTCTTAAAGTTGTAACATGAAAAGGAAAGGGGAGGGGACTCTAGGGAGGAGCCTGTTCTGGTGGAAACATTACAAAAATGGGATTTCACTTAACTTCAAAGTGATTTTTTTTACTTCCTGTCTGGGCCCTAGGCAATAAAGCCCAAAATATCCAACTATTCCCCACTTTATCCAAAACTCTTAAAATAAAAGTTTAGGTTGGAGTTTTTCCCAGTTATCCACATGGAATAAAAAAAACAACAACCGTGTTCTCTTTTTTACTTTGGGTCAGCTCAAATGTAGAGAGCAAAGTTGTGTTGCATTCAAATTCAAACAGAAAAATCGAGACCGCAGTTAGAGTCCCCACCCCTGAGGAACCCCTGACACGCCAAGTCCCTCCCACTAGGTACCTGAAGAGAGCAGAATCCATGTAGCAGGAGTTGCAGTGGCCCTGTATCCCTTTCATATCACCCTCTAAAATATCCACAGCAGCACCTCCCTGCAGCGGGGGGACCTTCCCAAGTACTCTGTTACCTTCATCTCTACCTGAAACAGAGCAAATTGAAAAGAGACTTTGGTGCATTCAATATCATCATTTATGCTTTAAAAACATCACCCCCAGAATATTTGATGTGAGCTGCAGATGTATCATTAGGCCCCATTCACATGTGGCGACATACCTTTGCAGCGGCCGGGATAGTGCGCCTTTCGGGGCGACGTTCCAGCGACGGTAGCGCGACCTTCTCCGTCGGGCTCCATAGAAAAAAGCAAAGTCGCGCAAAATCCGCCGAAAAAAGGGACCTGTAGAAGCGACTTGCGACATGGAGCTAAGACAGCTCCATTGACTATCATTAGCCGGCGACTTCTCGTGATATCGCGCGGCAAAAATGCGCGATATTGCGGCGGAAATCGCGCCATAAGTCGCTACATGTGAATGGGGCCTTAAAAGGAAAGGTTGCTACTGCTATTAGTCGTGATCATTTTAACTTATAATGTGGCCAACTCATGTATAAAGATTGCATAGTGATGATCTTGGTCGTCCATTGGTGGTTCTTTGTTTTAGCTCCACCCCGTGAGGAGATCAAAGTAACTCACCGTGCCCATCAACCTCCAGGCTCTTTGGTTCATCGACTTTGCTAGACAGGAAGCGGGTGTCCGGCTGACATGCTTTCAACTTGACAAAAATTCCTCGCTTTGGGGCACAGGAAAAATACCGGAATCCCTGCAAGCTGCCATCGGTGCAACCTTTATCTTCTTCCTGGGAGGACGAGAACACATTTCAGTCATCAGAGAGCTGAGCTGCCTACCACAACTGGATGATCACATGACATTATCACTGGCTGCTGTCATTGCATTGGCTCTGGGTGATCACATGACATTGGCTTGTATTGGCTCTCAATTTTCATATGACATCATAACTGCCAGCGGTAACCATTATTATCTAAATAATAATATGACATCACACTGCACTGGAATGATCTCACAATATCAACAGCTACATTGGCTTTGATGAGTCATATCTTGACTATCAGTCTGCATTACTTTGTCTCTAAGTGATCATGTGACATCACACTTTCACCACATTGGCTCTGAAAGGATAACATATATTTGAGGCACCCAAACTTATTAGATGAACTTATCACACTACACGCCTTTCCGACATTGGTTCCTAGAGCTTATGTGACCAGGTTATTGTGTTATGACTCCAAAAGGATCACATGACATAGTGACACTGCCAGCCTTCACTACATTGTGTTCAAGTGATCATGTGACATCACTACAATGGCCCAAGGTGACCTTATGACATCACATTTCCAGCTTTCACTGCATTGGCATGTGTGACCACATGACGTTCTATGCTGTCTGAGTGATCATATGATATCTCCACACTTCAATTATTATTATGATTATGATTATACAGGATTTATAGAGTGCCAATAGTTTGCGCAGCGCTTTACAATATAAGGAAGACATTACAATCACAATACAATTCAAGAACAAGATGGTAAGGAGGGCCCCGCCCCTGAGGGCTTACAATCTAAAAGAGGAGGGGCCAGTGATACATGAGGAGGGAGCTGTGTGGGGATGAATTGTATGAGAACGTGATGGTTGAGCGGATAGGTTGAGGTGGGATCGGCTTCCCTGAAGAGATGAGTCTTAAGGGATCGCCTAAAGGCAGTCAGAGTGGGAGACAGACGGACAGGTTGGGGTAGAGAGTTCCAGAGGATGGGAGAGACTCTACTGAAGTCCTGGAGGCGAGCATGGGAGGAGTTGACGAGGGAGCTGGAAAGCAGGAGGTCCTTGGAGGAGCGGAGGGGACGGTTGGGGTGATACTTTGAGACAAGGTTGGAGATATAGACGGGGGCGGAGTTGTGGATGGCTTTGTAAGCGGTTGTTAATATTTTGAATTTTACCCTCTGGGCGAGTGGAAGCCAGTGGAGGGATTGGCAGAGGGGGGCGGGGGATGGAAGCCATTGCAGGGATCGGCAGAG